CTCTGTTTGTAGACGGAATGCTTCAGTTCTTGAGGCCTAGTGAGAAGTCTCTTGAGATAAAGGTACTAGAGGACAACCAGGGAGCGATTGCGCTTGCTAATAATCCGCTTAGCTCAGGGAGAAGTAAGCACATCGACGTAAGGCACCACTTTCTCCGGAGCTTGACCGAGGAGGGTAGGATCAACATCTCGCATGTTAGCAGTAAGGAGCAACATGCAGATATTCTGACGAAAGCTTTGCCGCGAGAGCTTTTCGAAGTTCACCGTGACTTTGCGCTTGGCTTGAGCGAGAAGCAGAAGTCGGAGGTCGTCGATACAACAGCCCCTAGGGAGGGTGTTCGTGGTAGCGGCAGGTGTATCGACTCAATGGCGGGGTATATCTGATTGGACGACTTGACTAGCGGGACTGTCGTTGGAAGGTTACTCCGGTTCTGCACGTTCCGCTGTGGAACATTCGTATAGTATCTGTCGGGTAATCTGTTGGTGGTTTGTGCTTTCCTCCGATGCATTTGTGGCTCGTAGGAAGAGTACAACTACCCGTGATCGGGGAATTGGGATAGTGTGATGTGATTCGTGATCGGGTTGTCGGGGTATTGCAATCGGGCAGATAGGGGTGCTGCACGCCCTCACCTTGTCCACTCCCATTCCAAACCAACTAATAAGACCAAGTCTCAAGTATCTAACAACCTTCTCTCTACAAGCCACGAGTTTACCAACAGGAGGTCGATTTCCACTCGATTTCCGCCGTCCGTAAGTAGACAAATGTGGGTACCATTTGGACAAAAGTGGGTCAAAATATAGACAAAAGTGGGCACATGAAAAAATTAGTTTACGGCGGTGGGAATACCCACCGCGGACAGAAGTGGGCACTCTGGTGAGGCCCTGCGCGCCTCGGCGGTATTAGGGCCAAAAGTGTGCCTGAAAGTGGGAACAAATCGGTGTCCGTGCTGTGTATGGTCCCCGGCTGTGTCGCGCAGGTGTCAGAATGGGGTTTTAAGTCGTTTGGGTGCCGCCTATGGAGTGCGCGCGCGCTGGATTTTCGAGTTCCCACTTTTGTCCGAGAAAGGGGTGGGTATACCCACTTTTGTCCATTTCCCAAAAAAAAACGTACTGCTGTAGACTACTTTCGGTATGAGCGATTTCAGAACTATGTAATATTGGACAAAGAATGAGCAGCTGTTCGAATTCCTACTTTGTTTTGTAGGAAAGGAGCGTCTCGCCCGCCAGACGGTGTCGCCGTTTCTTTTCGAGGGAAAGTGGATGGACCCACAGCCAACGGTACTACGATGCAAAGTACCTAGTTTTTATTTGTACTGCCAAACGAAAACCAAAAACCAACTCGAAGTAATAAACAAAAACAAAACACACATATAGTCTGTTTTGAAAAATGCACACAAATACACAGCAGTGCGGAATACATCCGCCCAGAGGTTTGACGGGCACCATGTACACCGGACACAACAACTATTCAGAACAGGGACGTCAGGTTTTGTGCCGACATGTATACATCTGGCCGGCACTAGGCCGGAACACCTACTGTATGTAGTTTTTATCAGGTCACGTAGCTTTTTTTGTTTCTGCCAAAGCTATTTTTCCCGTCGTTATTTGCAATATGTAGAAACACACAGCAGTGTGTGTCCGCTAATACCACGAGGTACACCACCAATTCGTCGCGAAAGTTATCCCGGAGTCGTATCGATGGGCTAGGGATACATCATGTTGGAAAAAAAGCTAATATGCTTCAACATAAAACGAAGCTCCCCGACCTACCATACCCATAACAATTTGGTGATGTACTTGTATTTTTGCCGGCACAGTACGATGACCAATCGTAGTTGAATCATGCACCTGCATACGGAGTTTTTCGCGCCCTCAAATGGGCTTCTGGCAAACATGTTGGAAGTCCTGTCGAAATTAAGCCCTCTGATTCGGAGGTTAACACAAGCTTTTTCTCCCCCCAAGAGCAGTGCTAGATGCGCTATGCTATTGTACTTTTGAATGTGTCCACATGGAGTATCGTGTTACGCCATGGCGGCAGTCCATGCGTTGAGGTATGGTTGCTACAACAAGAACGCTTACTTAGTTGTATCTTCGGGCAGCGGCACACCAGCCGGAACTACATCTTGAGAATCGCACCTTACAGTAGGGGACAAATCTATATAAAGCCGTGGTTTGCACCTTCACTCTTATACGAGACCCTCAACACAGTTGGCATCGACGCGTGAGGGTTTCGCCCTGCCTCCCCACCCAACTATCTCCGGCATTGCAGCTAGCTGCGAACACCACATCCAGACGCACACCTATACACCTATAAGCCGAAGGCCGGCCATCGTTAGGCCTCCACACCAGCATTTGTTGTTGACCGTGCCGAATCGCTGCCCTCGAAAAACTTCGCTGGTCTGTGTGGCGCCAAGAGACATGTGGGCGTTGGGGCATTATTGTTATTGATACTGCGAATCTGACTGCGGTGCCGTTGTTCGCAATGCGCAAGCACCTCATTTTACGGTTCATACTCCCAAAGTTCATACAAGAATGTGTAAGATCGCTTCGCTAAAGTTTTTCACGCACCACCTACCCCAGTGCAACCAACAAGCATCCACTAGAACAACAACAACGACATCAGCAACAACAACAACCGCTGTTCAGAGGGTACTGTCATATTCTTCTGAGTCTCACATTTTCTCGAAGAACTTCACGATCGTTCAGACAAATGTGTCTTGGTTGATGCTGTGGTGTACCTCGTTCAAGAGGTACTTGTCGTAGCCGTTGCTGGACCCCGGTAATGCGAGCCGGAACTTGTGCCGCCAGACACGGGCTCTGCCCGCCCCCTGCGTTTCCCCGCAAAGCCGAGACCCCTCTGCTCCATCTTGGCCTTACGGGCATTGGTGGTACATTTGTACCTGGCGTCTGATGGCGTGTACAGGGTAAACCTTAGGACGGCCCCGTTCCCGCAGTGACAACGTCGGATGCCCGGTGATGGAATCGGGCACGCGCTCGTTACCATGGCCGACCCCGACGTAGTCGTAAGCGAGTACCCACCACGTAAATGGTGGTGGCTCACCGCTCAAGGAGTTCTTGTTTCCTCTTTGACGGAAGAAGTAGATGATCTTGCTGAGGGTGAGTTGGTCTGCTGGTGGCGGTCCATGGTCGCCCGTCGGCGGTGGTTTGTTGAATATCTCGACATCGTCTGCCTTCCCCTGCCCCAACGCCCAGTCGTCAGGCGGCCCAGGCCGTGCGGCGGCCTTGACGTCGCCACCCTTCAGCCGGCCCTGGCCACAGCTCACTACCTGCACAACGCGCATGTGCCTCGAACATTCTAGCAGGCTACTGTCCAAGGTGTCCTCCTCATCCCATCAGAAGGGGCACCGAATGTCGCTGCACTGCTCATCCCCTCCGCACCCGTAATACACCTTGTACTGCGCGATCAATGCCGCCTCGTCGGGGCGAAAGTTGCCCCCAGAAACGCGAGCACCCCATGACCCATCGTCGACCTGCACATNTTTGTCCAAGGTGTCCTCCTCATCCCAGCAGAAGGGGCACCGAATGTCGCTGCACTGCTCATCCCCTCCGCACCCGTAATACACCTTGTACTGCGCGATCAATGCCGCCTCGTCGGGGCGAAAGTTGCCCCCAGAAACGCGAGCACCCCATGACCCATCGTCGACCTGCACATCGTTGTCCTTGTACAGGTGTGCCGACCAGATTGGTGATCCCGGAAATTGGCCTTTCAGCTGCGCCGTTGTTTGGGTCTCTGTCGCATGAACGTCCGTGGGTACGCGGTCGTGACCGAGGGTCCGGGCAAGCATAGACATCAGGCGGACGCACCCAGCCCCGGGCTACACCGAAACAATCTCATGCTTCTGTTCGCTGAAGTTGTACTTCCGTACCCGGTACTCGAGGCCGTTCGCGAGCGCAAGCATTGCGGCGTTGTCGTTGGCGCGCTTGGCGTAGTGCTTGGGTGGGTTCCGTCCACAGTCGGACTTGTTGCTGGACTTGTTTTGCTGGTGGGCCAATTCCCCTGGGCTTGCATCCGGGACAACTCCTGTAGGCGGCAGGGGAAGGTTTGGTCGACAATTAGCTTACGATACCTAGCAACCATGTAGGTGACTTTCCAAACGCCGTGCAATAAAAATAAACTGCTGCCAGAAAACTGGCGTTCAAGTGCAACAAACTACAGGCGAGGCATGTTTCGGAGTCACCCCCATACCTCGAGGAGCACTGCAGTGACAGTCGGAGCTCTGCTGTGCCGGTTCAAAGATTTATTCGTCCTCCCGCTCAAATTTGATTGGACGTTTTCGATGCCAGAGCCGAAAACTGAAAGGCGTCTCGGCGGTATAACCTCGACTATCGCCACTTGCTTAACCTCATCACCTTGCTCCGAAAGAATTGTCGAGACACAGGGTGAGCAACTAAAACAATACAACGACGCCTGTGATCCCAGGTCTTTGGCCCAGAAGGGTCGCTCGAGGGTTTGTTGCCCAACATAGGTCACAAACCGCATCCTAAAAACCATCCTTACCCCTGCCAATGGCCAAGTTGGGCTCAGCCAAGGTAAGGCGTTCAATCGGCCTCACCATGTGCTCGGATGGCCTGTGAGGTGTGCAGGACAGAGTGGATGGTAGGCCTCGAACCAGTCCTCCCCATGACCTTGGAATAGAAGCCGACCTGGACAGGGCGGAAGAAGAAACACAATTTAACACGCAGAGTGGTATAAGAACAAAATATTATCAAAAGATATTAGCTTAACTTGATAATTTGCAACGTTCAAGTAATATTGAATGTGAAAAGCCATGTTCTTGGGTGAAAGGAGTTCGGGCGTTTCAAAATGTAGACGGGCGAAGAAAAAAGCTAAAAAATAACCCGGGGTGCAGCGTCATTAGAGCTGTGTCTCATTCGTCTATTGGGCCTCCCTCGGACACGCAAAAAAACACACTTGCCCGTGGGCCTATCGCTGAAACGCACGATGCCTGGCCTTTCTAACGGTTGCGACGACGGCGAATAGTAGCAACAGCGGTAGCAGAAGTGGCACCACATAAAACACGTCGCGGGAATGCGTCGATTTGCAGGTCGCGTAAGAAGGATCCATTCGCGGCTACCCAAAAGCACGACGAATAAAGCAAGCGCCGAGGTGTTTTTCGCTGGTAGGGGTGACAGCAAAAGCGATCACCCGGGTGCGTTTTGAGGCGCTTTCGTGCATCGCCGTTTTTTTTTTAGGGTGTGTGTGAGAGAGGTGCCATGGGCATCGGCATGTTATTAGGAACACGCTTTCCAACGATATTGGATCGCAAAGCATGACAATCTTTCCCATAGGTGTGTGCACCCCCAAACAAAACAAAGCCCAATGCAGGATGGCATAAAAGGAGACCGCAGTGACGCAAGCACCCCAATCTATTGTATGCCGCTCAAAACCATGCACACCAATGCCCGTCACAGGAATAATAGAGGTCAGAAAGACTTACCACGTCACGCGCGAGAAGGTCGAGTTGGGCTAGCTCCAGATCGTTGTGAGAAGGCGCACGCACAGCGCATGACAGGTGTGACGCCACCTGTATCAGCTTCTGAAGCACCTCGAGCACCTTCTCGTCTGTCCCCCAAATGTCTTTCAATTCGGCGATGTCCTGCCTCTTCATGTACTTCTTCTGCGAGGGTGCAAGTTTCGTCGACAAATCGCCACAGGAAAGGGTTCGGAGGGGGGTTAATCCGGATATTGTACGTCGCTTCGAGAATAGGGCGGAGAGGTACCGGGTTGCACATGTCGCCCCGTGCTTGCAGGGTGCCAACAGAAGAGGACTGTGGGTGCCGTGCCTCAAGCTTCACCAATGCCGCGCGGAATGGGAGGGGCGGCGTCCCCCTGTCTCGCACGCCCTAGTTGTTACTGCTAGACTATTAATTGACCACGGGTACGCGGGAGGACCGATCACTGATGGCGAATCGTTCCTGCTTACTTGCCGAATGTGGTTCACAATCCCATCAACATCACTTCCCGCCTTGTCAGCCCCATTCCTGTGCCCCAGCATAGCTACCGTCTCTCGTGCTAAATTCCATGCCTCAAACATGTCTCTGTACCTTCCTCCTATTTCGTCCAGCCCAGCCATGTACATTTATCTCTATCTTTTTCGTAAGACGGACCATCAGAAACTATCATGTCTTATATGTACTCTCCTATTCATACGGTACGATCAACACGAAGCAGAGGTCTCCTCCCCCCTCCGGGCGCTAATGTGAAAAACCTCACCATGGCTCCGACATTTGCAAGAATCGGTCGGAAGACGAGCAGCATGATGGACTGCAGTGTCCACTTGTCGCTCCCAGTGAGAGACGAGTAGTTGGTCACGATATCTTTGAGACGCTCCGTGCCAGCTGGGTATAGCAGAGAAGGGTTCTGAGCCACGACCGCCGAGACCAGCCGCCGACCTTGAGTTGACAGCATCTCGAGGCAGGACACTTGGCACAGCTGGCAGGACCCCTGCAAAACAACAATAACACACATTGTTCGTACTTCGTCTTTCTCGTNAAGATCTCGAGGCAGGAAACTTGGCACAGCTGGCAGGACCCCTGCAAAACAACAATAACACACATTGTTCGTACTTCGTCTTTCTCGTTTGCAAGACACTGAATCAACCGTGCCGCCATTAGAGGCCCAACGACTCGAGGGAGACATGACACATCCCAAGATTCCTACACCAATCGCGTACAGACATTGGCGTGTTTGGTTGTGGTCGCTTATTTCCGGCACGGCAAACGTTGCGGTACGTGCTACCCTGGTCCTGGTCCGCATTCTATTTACATGTCTCACCAGCGCATCGAAGTGCAGTCGCTCCACAGGNCTATCGTTTGAAAGAGACACGATCAACCGTGTCGCCAGTGGAGGCCCAACTACTCGAGGGAGACACGACACAATGCCCTGGCAACAAACACCCGGAGATTCCTAAATCAATCGCGAACGGACATTGGGGTATTTAAACGAGGTTACCTTTTTCCGGCACGGCAAACATTGCGCTACCCTTGTCCGTTCCGCATTTGATATAAAACTCTCACCAGAGCATCGAAGTGCAGCCGCTCCACAGGGACAAGCGGTGGGGGCGGTGAGCATTGAGTCGTACATGGGCAGGGAGGGGCCGTTGGAGTCTGTGACAAGCCCCAGTACCATCGATTGTCGAGAGTGCTCGACGGGGTTGTCTGCGAGGGACTTTAGCGTATCGAACCCGGCCGTGGTCTGGCCCCAGATACGTCGATTTGCTTCGATGTCGTACTGGGTAACTCCCAGGTCCCCCCCGGTAATGTTGTCGCGTTGCTCAACCATGCAGTACNATTTAAACGAGGTTACCTTTTTCCGGCACGGCAAACATTGCGCTACCCTTGTCCGTTCCGCATTTGATATAAAACTCTCACCAGAGCATCGAAGTGCAGCCGCTCCACAGGGACAAGCGGTGGGGGCGGTGAGCATTGAGTCGTACATGGGCAGGGAGGGGCCGTTGGAGTCTGTGACAAGCCCCAGTACCATCGATTGTCGAGACTGCTCGACGGGGTTGTCTGCGAGGGACTTTAGCGTATCGAACCCGGCCGTGATCTGGCCCCAGGTACGTCGATTTGCTTCGATGTCGTACTGGGCATCTCCCAGGTCCCCCCCGGTAATGTTGTCGCGTTGCTCAACCATGCAGTACGGACACGGGAACCTCGAGAAGTTGTTGCATGCTTTGGAGCCGAGCACTTTAGCCCGACCTGGCCCGTCCCCGACCCACAGGAGCAGACCCCCCCGCACAAACACCTGTCGTGAAGGTAGGGCGTTAGTGTGAACGCCAGGTATTCGTGGACTGCGACACATAAAATTCGACGGAAGCCCTTGTAAACCACCCAGTCATACTTCGCACGCCATGACCTGTTGGCATCAAAGCAATTGTTGATCATCCATCGGGGCGACAACAATGCTTTTGGGTAAAGGAACGGTCCGGAATGTTTTGGAGGCACGGGGTATGGATCCTCCACAGGAAGGAAGCTCGATTCCTGATAATTGATACTTCATGTTCCGGTAAAATCGTCTGCTACCTGCGACCACACCTCCTCAGACAGCAACTAGAAAGGGCCGGCGAAGCACACCCAGCAACAGGACGTGGCGATGGCGTCTGTCTGCCTCCTTCGTCTCTCACCGGAGTCGAGAGTCCTTGTTTGGATAAACTAACAACACATAACAATACCCACGAGAGCCAGGCATTCCGAAGCAACAGCGTTCGCAGGAAACGCAAAACACATCTGCGCATCAAGAGGAACACTTTTGACTCCTGGGCAACACCCCCGCGTTCCCGTACACCCCGAGCAATGGAGAGCCCCATTACAAGTAGCGGGTTGCAGCAGTAGGATGTCTGCGGCAAAGACGCCGCTAGCGTGCAAGCATCACACATACTGGCGCATCACCGTAAAAACCCATATGAGAAAAAAGGGCAATACTCCCCTTGTATGACATCAGGGAGACATCTGTCTGCGGTTTATGCGGAAACCGGTACTGCACCAACCATGACAATATCGGCCACATCCTCTAGCGTCGTCCCCGCGAGCAAG